TAAGGATGCATTATTGGTATTGATGAGAAGATCTTAGAAAAGGTGTTGTATCTTTTAATTCGAGAATTAGCGATAGAAGTCAAAGAATCAAGCGATTTCAACCGAGGAAGGTTTTTCAAAGGTGGAATATCATCATTTGAGAATAACCAAGGTTGGTGGATGGCTGAGGTAATTACACGAGAGCTCATAGAATGCTTGTGCTTCATACTGAAGTATTTAGGCTTATATTGACACTCTATGTATATGTCAAGAGGGTTATTATTTGCAATGGTAGGGACACTTGAGGTAATGGTGTTCAATTAGATAGCTTATAAAGTAACTTGTATTTATGTGAAAATAGGAGCCAAGTACAAAATGAGAAAGTTTATAGCATTGCTATGTTTCAATTATGTGTATGTAGTGATTGCATTTACATTAAGTCAAGCAATGCCTATAGCGGAAAGAAATGTATCTTTACCAGTACCTCAACAAGATGAATGATTTGAGTTAGTCACATCCTCCTGATGCAGTAAATATTTGCCGAGACCTCCACATTGGTTGACTCCTACCTTTGCTATTGAAGTATTTTGTCCTACCCCAAATTGTGGTGAACCTATAGCATCAGCATCTTCCTCAATCGATTGACTCTCGTTGTCCAATATAAATTCTAATTGTGGCAATTGAGATTCTCCATGATATTGTACCAAGTACATCTGTAGAACAATCTGGTCCTGGTCTTTTCCAATTATGAATGTGCCTCGGCCCCAATCGTTCTTAGCTTTGGCTTGATAAAGCCAAGGTCTGCCCAATAAAATGGGATACGATAACGTAGAACTCTGTAATCGAAATACAATATAATCAATTTTGTATGTCAATCTGACGATTACAGTGGCAATATCTCGTAAGATTTCCATTGGCCTTACTTGACTATGATCTACCATTCGCAAGACCAATGTCGTAGATAGCAATTGCTTTAGATCCAAGTCCTCGAGTGTATCCACGTTCATTAAATTTACATTGGAGCCACCATTGACTTGTATCCTTGGAATTAAAATGCCATCGATTGATACGTCGATTGTTGGTGCTCCCAGATCTGGATTTAAGCTAACTTCATGAATTTCTTTAGTGCGGGATCTTTGTCGTATTAGCGCTAAATTCAATATAGATCAAAATTTCGGTGCTATAGCCAAAAGTTGCTTCATTGTAATTGAAGGCTGAATAACATCTAAATCCTTCATAATGTTGTAGGATTCTATATTGAGAGTAATTTCCAATGCTTTTTTGTGTTTCATTGATTTTGATTTTACTCCATTTAGCAACAATTCCTTCCTGGCGATTGAGATTGCCATTGGTAACTTTGCCAACTTTTCTACTACTAAAGGTTCTTTTAATGCATAAGATCTTTTATTAGGCTGTACAGGTATTGATACTTGGTTACTTGGGATTGATCTTGATGGTTTTGATAAATTGGCACGTGGAACCGAATTGGATTCCTCATTCTATTGAGGTCTCAATATTGGGATACGTCCCAATGCTAATATTGGTTTGTTTAGCCCCGTGGACGACACTACTTACTCTCCTGCGATTGATTCATCCACATCCTAAATTAGATTCTTATCTTTTTGTCGGCCTTTAGTAAGCACTACGTTCACCACCTCGACATGATGTATTCGTGAGTCTCGTTGAACAGGACCTTTGTCCTCCGCTGGTTAGCTTGTTTACATTTGCTGGTCTCGATTATTATAATTAAAAGGCATATTGCACTGCTGATAAGTGTGACCAGACTGCTTCCAATTTCCACATATTGGAGCATAGTCATCACTAGCCCTTGAATTAGGACATTCACTTGCATAATGTCCGATTTTTTTGCAACGATAGTAACGAAGTGGTCTCTTACCAGCTCCTTTAGGGATATTGGATGTCTCTACTAGTATATAATGGCTAGGTCTGTTCCATGTCAGATGAGTAAAGGATCATAATTGACCCATTGTTACTACAAACTCTGGCATTGGCTTTGTCATGGGTAGATATTGATGGTATCTTAGTTGGTTCATCACAAATCTCTGAGTATTAGATACACCTTCTTGGTGAAATTCAGAGTTTAGAAAATTGGAATAATTTCTATTTTGTTTATTTGCTCGATTTTCATTCCAGCCAAACTTATTATTTGTCTATACTTGATTGACATCCCACGAAGTTGGTTGAGTCATTATCTAGTTACTGAGTTGTTGTTGCTTTCGTAAATTCCAACAGTTGGTGGTAATATGCTTGCCCCCACAAAAAGTACATTGTATTGTCATTTGGGGTGGTGAACGATATTCTGTTACTTAATGACCTTGCCCCTTATAATTACTGCACCAGACATTGGGACGCATATTGGTTGGTTTATGCCTTTTTTTTTTTATCCTTGGCCAGATTCACAGCCAATTCATCCATTTTTTTTGTCAATGTTAACAACAATGACTCATTGGGATCCCTTGATACCAATGCATTTGGCAATTCCTTCATAGGTATTAATTTTTGACATGTGGAATAACATGCATACGGTTGTGATGATGATGGTGGTACAACTTGCAATAGAATGGCATCCACTATTCCCTGTGAAATTGTACCATAATCATTCCTTCCCAGACAACTTTCCGATGCGTCATTCCAACTTGTCATTTGATAACCTCCTTGAAATGGAATCATCTTGGCTCCAATTGTTAAGTTCTGATGATAGTGACATTCCTCCCATACTTTTGCTCGCTCAAGAGATGATGCAATGGTGGTTGATTGGGCCTCCTTTACAAACATCTTCAATTCTAGTGGGTGTAGTCCATTAACCAATATGGACAACACAAATGATTCCGACATTTGGTTATTTGGCCATTTTTGAAGTATATCTACTACATGACCATAATATGACTATACCGCTTCCCCTAGTACCATTCTACTATTCATTAATTTTTTTCTAAGATGTTCTTCAAAACCAATTGGTCAAAAATGGGCTAAAAATGTATTTTTCAATGCCTTCCAATTGATAAATTATCCCATAGGTTGGTGATTATACCACTCAAACGTTGTGTCTTTCAATGTCATTAGCAGCCATTTTAACCAAATATCTTCAGTTCTACCATTATTGGCTATACATGCCATCAAGAATTGAGACAAATAATGATCTGGATCCACACCTGGCAAACCCCAAAAAGTAGGTAATGGCGCGACGCTAGTCGTTCAATCACCCATTGCATCCATTTGAACTGCAATCGGAACTGCTAGTCCTCCGGATGCCATTAAAGATATCGGTGTTCTTCTCAATTCCTTATTAAAATAAAAATTATCTTTTGCAAAAATCTTTTTCGGACTTCCAGGCCTTCTTGATTGACTATTATTATCTCCAAATAATTTTACCGGTTGAATATGAGGTAAAAACGACAAGTTTTGATATATTCTGAATTGGTCTTTATTGGCAAGTGATTTATGCCAATCTTCAGAACTAGTCTTATTAGAATTGGACGTATCTCCAATTGGGAAAATACCCAATGGGGTACCTAATTCCTTTGTGCCTTCTTCGCTTTCCGTTAACGGCTTCGAGAGGTATGCTGGACTATTAGCAGCGCTCCCCGCGAATGCTCTTGGTAATTTTTTTAATGATATGTACTTCTGAAATATTAGAGGTCGATAGTCTTCTGTGTATGATCGAATATGCGGACAAGCATGCAACTATGGCTTAATCCAACTTTATCGATGTTTCTTTTTTAATTTGCGATCTCGCTCGTTATGCAACAAATTTCTTGTTTGTGATTTCTTTGTTCTTTTCTTTGATTGCTTTATTCTCTTTGCTGTTAAATTCTCATTCTTAATAACCATACTCTTTCATTATTTCTACTAAGTTTGCTTCCTAATCTCCTTTACTGCTTCAGCAGTTAATTTTTAACACTCAATAATGTTGTCAATCTCCAACAGCGACGCCAAAATGTGGTTGTCGTTTTACTTATTCCGAAAGAAACCTACGAGAATAAACCCATATAGGAGAATTCGAATACAGGAAAAGACCATATATATGAGCTCCAATTGTTAGGATCACACAATTAACCGCTACTGCTAAATGCTTACAATACTGAAGAATACTTTAACTTTTCTTCCTACTGTCGACTCTCTCATATCAATACGGTAACAATCACGACATCAATTTCAATACCCTGTGTAATTCACAAACACACAAGCACAACCCAAATCCTAGAACGAACAACTTCCAATCCACATAATCTGATCGAGACAATTCCTTCGATTACAATTCCTCTCCACTGAACTTACAACCTTACGATAAAGAGTGACTGGAAACTTCCATACATCCTCAATCTTTCACAACAATTGATAAACAGTGTTCCATAAACAACTTCGTAAATCAAACATTGATTCATTAAATCGATTCTCTTCACTAGAATCAACACTAACACAAAAGAAACAAGAAAACTAAGAAGAAGAGATAGCACCAAGCTTATCCCCGGCTCTGTACTATCACAATCTGGCATTTTCTTCCCCTCTTCCATCCTCCTTATACTACCCCGAGATACCAACTCCTATACTACAGATGATAACTACTTTTCTTGACTATTCATCCATTCTACCTACTGAACCACCTTTTCAGCAGTTATCTATCCCTGTTTACACTATACACTAAGTATCTTCATTCTGTAAAATAACTACTTATTCTACAACAATCTATTTTCAAATGAAAGATTTACGTTTAGAAAATACTTCTTACAAAGCTTCTATACACTTGATTTACCAACATGCAAAAAATTTGCCACCTATTTCATTCTATACCCTTTTTGAAACAATCCATATATATGTATGTAAAAAAAAGTGCCAAGATTTACACTTCAATTACCTTATTGATAATAGAAAGTAACTACATTTTTACCATGTCAATTTAACATTCAATCACTATTTGGTGACTCACCAAAATTTCAAACTAAAAACATCAAGACAATTTTGAAGGTCGCAATAAAATATCTCAAAATGTACCATAAGACTATCAACTAATACTAATTGCATTCATGAACATATTATCAACACTCTTCACAAACAAAAAAATCCTAAAATAAAACTAAATACAATTGAAACAAAACATTTGGAATAAGCTGCTTCAAAATCTATCTAACAACTGCACTTCCAAAAGCAGTAGCTGCAAGCAAACCAAGCAAACCATACCTGAACTAGTTATGGAATAGGAATAAGCAAACATCTTTGCAAGGCAGGACAGGATGAGTGTACAATAGAATAGAACAGAATAGAAAGGGTAGTGACACAATCTGTACAATGTCTCCTACACATGAAGCTGCTGCAAATCAAGTTCGGAGCCTAAAGAAAATGAGGTGGATTTGAAAGGAAATGAGGTGGAGTGAGCGTCGTTCATAAGCTTGTCCATCGAGGATATCGACACTGGGAAGAAAATATAGAATGCAAACAGATAGAATAGATACATCAGCACTGAAACCAACGCCATCGTCAGCGCCGTTCGGAGCATCATGTGCAGTAAATTGCCCCACACGCCCTTCGCCTGCAGCACCCCTTGCGGAGTCTGCTCCACCATCGAACTCGGCAGCATTAGCAGCGCGCAATCAGTCCACTCCCGTATGTGCGGTACCCGCCTTTCTGATGAATTCTCCCATGTACTGCTGGGTAGAGAGCCGGCGCTGTCGACTTGAATTACCTGCCGGCACCCACCATGGTAAAAGTATCAGTTTTTTGTGTCGGTGTCGTTGAATCTCGTCAGATGATGCGTGCTGCTGTGTTTTCTTTTTTCTTTCTCACCGTGGTTGTGTCCCTGTGACGGTGTGACATGAGTTACCGTTGGTTTTGCTTGCTCACCTTGTCTTGAGATGATGTTAGGGTGTTCACGATGGAGACCACTTCCTTCCGGAACTGCACCTCCCCAAGCGCTCTCACGTACTCCATGCCGTTCCTGCGGTCTAGTTCTCCCACGGCGTTCTCCCATGTGGGTACCAAGATCCTCGTGTCCGACTTGGCCCACTTGTCTCAAACCTGATACCAGTGGCGTCGCCTCTCCGGGTTCTTAAACTCTTTGCACGATATGCCGAAGAACAAAGGCAGGATCTTCTTACATCCGGGTGCTCTCGAGAGAGCGACGAGCTCCTGCATGGGCCACTTGGTGCGAGTGAAATACTCTTCCGAAACCACCACGATGGCCAAGTCGCATTCCTCCGCGGCGGTAAAGATGCGTCCTGCGAATTCCTCCCCCTTGGGCAGGCTGTTGGTGCGCTTGTCAAAGAAGGGGGATTGACCCGCTCGTTCTAGGTCTTCGCGCAACTGCTCCACGAAGTCCTTTTGAGCTCCGCTGTGGCTGAGGAAGATGTTGAGCGTGGCGCGTGCCTGTACCCGAACCCAGTCCTCCTCCAAAACGGCCATCTCGCACTCTCGATTTCCCGCGTCGCACTCTTGAGAGCACGTCACCTGCAAGATCACATTCAAAAACTCAACTTCCATTCTATGTCCTCTTGAAACAATCAGAAACCTAGGGTTAAAGAAATTTTTGCAAGAATCTCGTCGAGGTCAGGAGTTTGAACGCAAGCACTGCTATTATCACATTGAAACCATCATAGTAGTTAGAAAAACTGGGAAAAAAATTACAAGACAAAATAAGATTAGGCGTGACAACTTGAAGTTTACATTACCGATCCGATTGCATATTTTGCCAGAATTCAGCTTGGAAGAGAGTCACTCACCTCATCACCATCTTCGGAGCTAAGCAAAGACAACGTGCAATCGTCCATTGTCAGATCATTCATCAAAACACATGAGACCCCTGCAAGGCTCCAGAGATTGCAACCAGATTGAGCATAAACTTGGATCTGCTTCCGCGCCGCACAGCTCCACACGAGGATATGATCAAAAGCAAACAAACAAACACAAAATTGTGACCACAGAAGGAAGGAAACATGCTCACACTGTCGGTAGAACCACAGCCTTCGATGTCGCAGAAGTCGACTAGAAACTCCACACTCCTGGATTACTGGTGTTGGACCTGCTTTTTCCACTTTACACCATTACAATCATGGCCATTATCCCCACCTCCCTCCATCCAAGCCCCCACTCTCTCCATTTCCAACCTTCTTCATCCTAACCCCCCCTATTCTCTTCTTGTTCCCAACTCTCGTCCCAACTTCCATTGTTCTCCCATGATAAGGTGGGTCATTTTAACATTCTCCTATAAATATACCTCTTAAAGTTTCTTACTTCTAAGAAGTTGCATAAAAGTATTTTTCTAATTTAAACGATGAATTACCAAATCTTATAATATTTAGAAAATTTCTAAATGACCTTTTCATTAAGCTAATATATATGAATGCAAGACTGAGGCTACACTTAACCTTATCAAAGTTTTTCATGTGCTCCAAACTTGGTCCAAATCTTTGAAATATATTGTTTTGTTATAAATACATTTCTTTTTAATTATCTTTTTCTTTTTTAAATCATGTACAAAAAATTTCTTTTGATATGTCCATGTAGATTCTAACCTTGGAAATTTAACAAAATTATGATATTAATATTTAATCTTTTTCAATAAAGAGCACATAATTTTTATCTTTTGAAAGTATAAAAAATGATTTAAAAATTATGGATTACTTTCATCTAAAGTACTATTCTTTTGATATATATATATATATATATATTCTATAAACTCTTTCAATATATAATAATTTTCTAATTTATAGTAAAATTAGCAAATAAGCAAGATTAACCTCTATTACAAAACCACATCTTTTATGTACACAAATGCAATGACTTCTAGATTTTAGGCATTTAGTTAAGAGTTATAGTGAATCTCATTATTGGTTCGAAAAATGTTGATAATGAGTGATTCATTGATTAATAGAATTTGAATCTAGCAATTTTTTTGAAATTTAATTCATTCAAAACATGATGACGAAATGTTTTCCATAGTCTTCTAAATTATTTTAAAAATTTAAATAGATTTATTCGCCACAGTAAACTCTCACCTTACGTAGGAATCTACTGAAACGATTTGGATGTTTGCTCACGTCAGGCACTTGCCCTAATGGCAGACTTAATGCATCATAAACTGTAAACCATAATGAAGCATACCCAAATCAAATTCAGACCAGATAACACTCCAAAATCCTGGAGCACAAGTGTTGACAAACAATGAATAATATGAAGCAATCACCAGGAAGAACGTTCGCCAGACATCAAGTAGCCTTGATGTCATGTTCCAGATAAATTCCTCAAAAATTGCGTCCAAACTCTTACAAAAAGATCTATGATTTTTTTTTTTTTTTATTAAGAATGTGCCTAAACAATTGACTGCACTTCAAGGCATGATATAGCCTCTGTCCCATTTACAGTGATAATCATTGAAGTATGCCATCAAACTCCAGACATGAGAAGATGTTGCCCAAGGAGTGAGTACACACAGATTGACAGGCACTACAGAGCTAGGAAGTGAAGCAAATCGACTCCTTTGATGCTTGTTCACAACCAGAAGAATTCATATTACAGAAGCTTCAGCCACTTACTCTACTTCTTAGACTTCTTCACTGGAGCAGCACTAACTGGGGCGTCAGCAGGCTGGGCAGGAGCAACTTCAGAGATACCCTGAGCCTGACGCTCCTCCCTCCTGGCTATTTTGCGCTCACGAGTAGCCTTGTTCTTAGCACGCCTAGCCTCAAACTGGTCAGACAGAGTCTTTTCACGTGCTTTTTCAGCCTTGGACTTGTGAATGCTCTCCATCAACACACGCTTGTTCTTGAAGACATTTCCCTTGACCTTCATGTACATGTCGTGGTACATGTGCTTGTCAATCTTCTTAGCATCACGGTATTTACGCAGCAGGCGCCTCAACACCCGCATTCGCCGCAACCACAAAACCTACACACGAACTGATCCATTTTATACGTGTCCATCGAAATATCGTTTGCAAAAATCGTAATAGAAATCTCAGAAAATTAACCAGTACATGAAAACATCGAATTCCGTGAAGAAACGCTGTTACAACTTCCACTAATGTCTCAAAATCAGGAGATAGGAGAGTCGAGAATTGAAATCCTCTTGCAAAATGAAAGTTCCAACTCTTGAGTATCAGTCAGATCACGCAGATTGTCATTCACTAATACCGTGCTCTTGCCATCAAACGCAAAATTTAAGTACCTACCTTAAAGAAGACAACGTGGAGGTGGGTGAGGTTTTTGAGGTGGTCGAGGAGACTTTAATTTAATTACTTATTTAAATGACACCCACTAAGTGACCACTTCAAGAACAGTCTCACAAAACCAAAAACACTATTTCCAAGAAAATAACAAAACAAAGAACAAAGAGACTCCCACAGCTCTACAAAACCCTAAAACCAACGAAACCCCGCACAACTCCCCGAGAATTTCAACACAGAATGATCGCAACCCAAACCCAACATCAGGAACTGGACTGATCCAAAAACCCACACCGGCGGCATCGTAGTTAGTACCTTGGTGGGGAGTCTGGCTTCCCTGGTACCGCGGCGCTTTCCGTAACCAGAGTGACGCCCCTTCCGCTTGGCCTCAAGAGCGCGGCGGGCACGAGCACGCGAGTGTATCTTCTGGGGCTTGCGGATGACGAAACCGTCCTTAACCAGCTTGCGGATGTTCTGACGGCTGTTGGCCATGGAAATTTCATTGACCTCATTTGGGTCCAGCCACACCTTGCGCTCCCCGCACTTGAGCACAGAAGCCGCCAAGCGCTTCTGTAGCTTGAGAGAAACCATGGCTGCCAAGCGGTGTGAGGTTCGGATTCGTGGCTATGGCGAACACGGAGGAAGTGCAATACCTACAACTCCAAAGAGGGAGACTCCATAAGCCTGGCCGCCTACTTCACCCCCTCCCTTCCCCTCCCCTCTTATCACGGGTTGCCCCTGCCTGGTTCCGCCTCCCTTTTCCTCCCCTCGCAGCCCGGCCCACTCCAGCCGAGTTACTCTTACTACTTACGCGTGCATGTTACTAAATATAGAGTGGTTGTAACAGTTCTATAGAATTACATCATCGTTTTAAATTATGAAGAATCGCTGCTAAATGAATAATTAAGAAATTACTATTTTTTTCTTTGATCATTTGGCCGGAAATTAAGAGCTGGTGTTGATTAACATTTCATCAACAACAGTTTGTAACAATCTTTGTAGTTTTTTAAAAATGACTTTTTCCTGAAAGCATCTGTGGAAGTTGGGTAGTCTTTCATATAGTAAACGTGGTGCAACACATTCATTTCAGATATTATGGATATTTCAGATAACGTGATTTTCTGATAAATTTATACTATAATAATAAAAAAATATATGTATTAGCTTGTCTATCTCTGACAGATGAAAAAAATTGCACAAAAAATTGAATCTATTTATGATGATTAGAAAGCACCACTTACTGTATTAAGGAAAAAAATCATATATATATATCCCTTGAGTATGCTGAAATATCAAGAATACTCTTGCATTCTTAATAATAGCAAATGCATCCTTGGCATTTTTTATAATAGCTAATGTACCCTCGAATATGATAAGGTATCACCAATCTAACAACAACACAATAATTCTCATGGATTCTATTACTTTTATTTGTCTTCATACAGAGGCCAAATTGTATGCCTTTATAATGTCATCTGCAATTATATCTCAGCTTGTCTTTTTGGCCTTTTGTCTTGAATATTCTTGCCATTTAAAAAAAAATATTTTTAGAATAACATTCTAACGCCTACTTAAGGACCATGTACATGGACAAAACCTTAGAAAAATCTCAAATCCTTACTACAATTAAGTCACACAATTGAACCTATTCAAACTAATTTGCAATATGCCACTAAATTCAAGTTAGATATTGGTTGCTACCTCCAGACTTCACAAGTGGTTATTTTATAAAGCTTTGAAGTGAGCCAAGTCCAACACCCAAACAATAAAATAGGCCATATACTATCTTGAATGAGGGCGATAATGACCATATATATATCCGAAACCTACACTATTTCACCTCAATTGTACCAAAAATCTCTGCCCTCCTTCTCTAAAGTTTTTTTTCTTCCTATTTTTGTCACTTCTCACAAACAAAGAATGAACAAAGATCTCTAATTGATGTGTATTAGCAATATAATCCTATCTAAAATCCATAATTTTGGACCACACAAAAGAATAATTGATCTTCAAATTATACAAAAAATTATATATATATATATATATATATATATATATATAACAAAATAAATTTCAAGTTTCTTTCTATAATTTTTTTTAAAATGATTTTAGGACATGCCCTTATATTAAATGTATTGAAAGTTGTGATTTTATTTAATTTAATTGGCAATAATTTCAAGTTTAAACATCACAAATTTTTTAAGGTAATCAAATACATAAATTTGTTTAATTAATTTTTCAATAATGTCAAGCTTCAATATCTTCTAATTTTAAAGTTAATCAAAGATGTGAGATTATTCAATAGGATTGGTTATGATGCCAAGATTCATTACCTTTATATATTAAATATTATCAAAGATGTGAGGTTATCTTATTCATTTGATAATGATATCAAGCTTGAACATTTACTTATATCAAATGTAATTAAAGATTTAAAGTTGTTTAATTTATTTAACAATGATATCTTACTTGAATTATTACTTGTATGAAACGTTGCCAAAGTTGTAAAGTTGTTCAATTTAGTTTGCAATGATATCAAGCTTAAATAGTGACTTATATGAAAAGGAGTCAAAGATGTTAGATAGCTCAATTTATTTAATAAGAATGTCAAGATTGAACACATCCAAATATGCAAGGTAGTCAAAGATATGAACTTATCCAATTTATTTTGCAATAATATTAAGCTTAAAAATTCACTTATATCAAAAGTTGTCAAGGATTTATAATTGCCTAATTTATTTTGTAATAATGTCAAGCTTAAACATCCACTTATATTAAAAGTAGTTAAGGATTTATAATTACCTAATTTATTTTATAATAATGTCAAAATTAAGCATTGCCACATATTTAGGATAGTCAGAGATAGGATGTTACTTAATTTATTTGACAATAATGTCAAGCTTGAACACCAACTTATATTGAGGTTTTTCAAAGAAAGAAGATTTTTTTATTAATGTTGATAATAAGCTTAAACTTTCATATTATTTTAAATTAACTAACTTTAAAAAAAGTCATTTATTCCAATTTATTTAGATAAATGGTTAAATTTGAGCATCTTTTTAAGTTAAGTTCTAATAATATAGAAAATTTTAAAAATAAAATTTTAAAATTTTTTGTAATTTTTTTTCAATTGTAAGATATTTAAATTTATAATTTATTTTTAAAGATCCTTATTATGTAATATTTGCAATTCTTAATTTTCTAATTCTTTTAAAAAATTATATTGTCATATCATGTCTAATAGAAAATATTTAAATCTAAAAGAATGTTTTATCAATTCAAAAAATATATTCAGTATTTTTATTATGATTTATTATACTATTGCGACAGTTATATTAATTATCATCTTCATAGCTACTCTATACTTTTTTGGTATTTATTCACATTTATTGATTGATAAGAAGTTTCACTTGACTTTTTAAATTCTTTGGAGTGGCTTCATTGTTATTTCAAAGATTCTTTCCTTTTACGATATATTTTGTTTTAACAATTTAGTTTTAATATCTAAGTTTAGGTATTTTTTTAAATTTATTTGAAGCTTATAGTTTTAACAAGAATAAGATTTTTCATTTTCAAGATGCCACTAAACCAACTGCTTTAAGTTAACACCATTACTAGCAATGTTAAGTTGTCATCCAAAGGTGGAGTAGATGCACAAACCACTTTTTGATTTTTCACTTCCATCAATATTTGCTTATTTTTCTTTATGTTGACACTTTTTTCATAGTCAGATAATAACACTATAGAGAAGTATATTAGATCATTTTACTTTTCTATCTTATTAAAATAAGGAATTGAAAAAATAATTTTTATTACCTCTTCCATTAATTCTTTAAGATTTCTTGAGTCTAAGATACTCAATTTATAAAATAGGCTACAATTTTGATTATTCAATTAATCAATACATATTCTTGATATTTCATAGTTTGATCATAAAATTAAACTTTGGTAATCAATTTTGAATAGATCATACAAAACTTTCTGAGTTTTTTAATTTTATTTGCCTAAATATTAGTTAAAGAAATTTAGGCATTGATCCAAAGATTAGTACTTTGTATTTCATCTTTAGATTGCTAAAGTTCTTCTTTAAAGGTCTTCATCTACATCTTCAAGAAGCTTATTCTTTTTGAGGTCTCTATTATCTTCATTAAAAACTTAAGAATTTTGATTATGTCTTAAAGGGTGCCAATTAATTTAGCTATTTTAGTTATTTGAAGCTTGAAGGTGATCCAAAGTTACATATATAAAGTCAAAGAATTCAATAAAGGTCACTTATGCTATACTATCATGGAGATATACATTTATTCCAATAATTACTTATATAATTAGGTAGAAGTAGGTAAATATAGATTAATTTCATAAAGTCTTTTAGAGAAGCTTTTTAGAAGCTTCATAGATATGATTTGGACTTTAGATATATTTGTAGGATAGAAACTTGGTCAACAAGTTAAGCACGTGTTGGTAGCTTGTGGAATAAGTTAACTCCATGTAGTAGCTTGTGGAATAAGCTAATTATGTGTTGTATATATAGATAACTTACCTTGTAAGTTAAGACATGTGGCTAGCAAAGTCAACACATATTAGAGGTCCTATAGAATATTACCATGTACTTATTAATTAGACAATATATATGGAGGTAAGAGTGAAGCCTTTTCACTCTTGTTAATGCCTTTCTAGTCCTTAGTCTTATTTCAAGTCTTTCTAGTCTTCTTGTTTTTGGCAATAGCTATTTTAGTTCAAAATTATAATATCTTTGAGTGTCTTTCTATTTCCTTTTAATGATACAAGACTGTATTGAGGATTTTTTTTTTTTTTCTAGATTCATGTCTTTGATAGTTTGACAAGAGTGCTAACATATTGTTTCTATCTTGTTTTAGAAGTGAGTGGATTACACCACTTCTATTGTTGTGTTTTGAAATTTGTGGACTATCTACCTTCAAACAAAATATCTTATTTTTTAGCACTCATCTTTTTCTTAAAGAGAGTGGATTATCCCTCTTTATAGAAATTTTTATTAGAGGTTGTGGATTACTCTTATCTAATTTAACCTTTTAAATTTTTTTGAGTTATCTATAGAAGAAAAGATTATGGATGTTATTCTTAGCGGAAGTGAGAATAGATTTGCAACTATTATAAATCTTCATGAGCTTATCAATACTCTAAGAATAAAAATCTTGTATATTTCTAATATGGATCATAGAGGTACAATACTTACGCCTATAAAAGAAGTTTAAATTTTGTAATAAAAAGTTGTCCAGTTGAAAGAAGCAAGTAGATCAACTTCACAACCAAATCCAAGGAATTTTGCTTCTATAAATATAACAAAGACAAGGATTAGTATGCTTGAGAATTTCGATGGAACAAGATCAAAATTTTGATGATTTTTGTAATAAGTCCAACTCTATCTAAAATTAAATCCTTTCCAATACTTTGATGGATTTATTCAAGTCAAATTCATAAATATACTTTTATCAAGAAGTACTCTTTTTTGATTTGCACCTTTATTGAAAAAAGATTTGCGACTCTTTTATAATTTGAATTCATTTTTAGAAGTATTTACAGCTACATTCGGAAAAAATTATTAAAAAAGAATAATAGCGACCAAGCTCTTATTTTTATGGTAAGGATCACGATTAACCATCATACATGCTGTTGAATTCCAAAAACTTGCTTACAACGTAGAATGGAATGACAAAGCCATTATCAAT